ACATTTGCACGACAAATCTTATATGTAAATATCCTACATATATAATAGACTCAATGTTGATTACTAGATCCATGTTAATATATACAGTGTAATTCAGGACTTCTGCAACAAACTCTGAGGAACGATAGGTCTCGCAAAAAGGATCATTTTTTTGTCAAGCAATTCATGTTCTTTGACGCGTCTCGTTTAGGAGCTACGCACAGACAGGTCTTGGGTGACATTTCATTACAATTATAAGATAAATTATTCATTTATTATTTCAAGTACACTTGCAGACAGTTTACAGAAGGTGTTCAAAGTGTCTACCCTGAACCTGATTGCATTCATGACACCATCGTAACATTGATTATCGGACTCTATCGAACATTTGAGGTCATGTTGTGCAGCAACTGTAGCGCAAAATGCAATCAAGTTCAGGGTAGATACTTTCCTAAAACCTTCTGTAAACTGTCTGCAAATATATATACTTGAAACAGTAAATAAATAATTTATTTCATAATTGTAATAAATGTTACCTAATAAATAAGACTTGTCTGCGCGGTCGTATAGCAAAAAATGATCCTTTCTGCGAAACCTATTATTCCTTAGAGTTTGTTGCAGAGATCCTGAATCACCGTGTATATACAGTAGACTCCTGTATTACACGAGGGATGTGTTTCGTGTTATATGAATCCGTGTTATACGAGTCACATAGATTATACATACATATATGGATTATGCATATGGAAACACATATTTATAAAAAATGTAAGAGTTTATTGTAAAAATATAAAATAAATATTAAAGATGTAATAGTAAAATATTTTTTATTTTTCTTTAAAATAAACAAATATTAAAATTTTTCCATTGTGTTATACGAATTCGTGTTATATAAACTTGTGTTGTATCGGGATCTACTGTACATACATATATAATGTTTATATATATATAATATATATATATATATATAATATGTTTAAATTTATATATATACAAAATCTATATGTTTTAAATTTTTTATATACACATATACACATCTTGTAAACACTTCGGACTTCGGACCTAATTATTTTCTATTTTCGACTAAAAAGCAGTTTTACAAACATATTTCTAGGTCAATACGTGGCATTGAAAAATAAAACCCTCACCCAATTACTTATCTTCACTCAATTGCTTATCGATTGATAAGCGTGTCATTTGCTACCAAAACGATTCGATGCTTTAGAAATTAGCATTATCAAGATTCAAATATTCGGGGATATTCTATTACATCGATAATGTTTACTCCGATATTCTCTCCAATATAGATACTGTTTACTCCGTTTTAACATCGATTGATGTAAAGGATAGCTGTTTATTGATCTGCTCGTTTCCGTTAACCAAAAGACACAACATACGTCCGGAAACTTTCGAAATTTAATTTATCGCAGACAAACCAAAAATATGATCGATTAATTCTGTTTTCGCGATACAAACTAGGTTTATTCCCTTACAATCTCCAATATATTTGGGATTGCGTTGCAATTTGCTTTTTCCAAAGATTTAGTAAAGGAAACACTAAGATTGCGTAAAGTCTGGAGGAAATACTACCAAAAAACTTTTTCTATACAATTTTATGCAGCAGATACATGATGATGCAGCGTTATTATGTGCGACCGAATGACTCGAGTCTTTTGGAAGGATAAAAAACGATAAGATCGATCTAAAGATAATATTTGCGATAATATTTTTTCTTTCGCGCTCACTCTCGAAAATGTGAGCGAGTCCGAGATTTTTTTCGCAGGAAAAAAAAATCGAATTACCATCCAAATGTAAACTTGCCGAATGTCAAGCTAGAGGACTCGCCGCGAAATTTCGCGCGAGAATCTCGGGATTCTTTCTTCCCTGACGTAGGTAGTACACTGAGTATATATATCGGACACGTTTGGTCGCCGCGAAACGCGAAGAGCGTCACTCGCGCGCGCTTCCATCTCCAGGGCGAAGAGACCCAGCGGGAAAGGAAGGAAGGAGAAACGCCGACTTTGTAACAAGTTCGAATTCCCACAGCGGCGTAGGCACACCTACGCCTGCTCGGCGCGATGAAACCGGGTAGAAGAAGAAGAAGAAGAAGAAGAAAACGGAGGAGAAGAAGAAGAAGAGGAAGGCAGCAAGAGTAAAAGAGACGAAAAAAACTTACCATGTGAACGTTGGAGAGGCCGATCGGGTCGCTCTGCTTCTTGTCCGTCTTCTTGGCTTGCCGCTTCGCCTTGCTCTCGAGGTAGCGTTGCTTCAGCGCTATGGTGTCCTGAATATTCTGCTCGCACAACCCATTGAAACTTTGATCGAACCTGGGGATGCAGTCGGTCTGTCTGCGGCGATAGCTCTCGATTCTTCGTCGCAGGCGTTCCACGACCGCCTGCCTCTTCGGGGGGAGTACCTCACCCATGCCGGGTGCTTGGCCCATTTGCTGCTGTTGATGCTGTTGCTGCTGTTGGTGTTGTTGGTGTTGTTGGTGTTGTTGGTGTTGTTGGTGTTGTTGGTGCTGTTGCTGCTGTTGATGCTGCTGCTGCTGTTGATGCTGTTGATGCTGCTGTTGCTGCAGGTGCAGCTGCTGCTGGCTGGCTATGCCCAGCTGACTGGCGTTCAACTCGTGGATTGCGGCCGCGGATTGGCCGAGGACGTTGCCGGCGTGCCCGTTCGGGCCCTGGCCCGCGCACACGGAGATGGTGCCGGGGGGGCCTTGCGGGGGCTGACGGGGCAGGAGCCCCCCGGCCTCCATACAGCCCCCTAAATCCACCGCAGGATAAGCCAGTTCTCAATGGTTGCCACCGTAGTGGTCGATCGTAAGGCGCGATGCCGACCGCGCGGCCACGTCGTCCTCTACCACCGGCTTCGCCGCCGTCTGCGTGACGCGCATCCTCCGCATCCACCCCACTGGCGTGAACCCGACGATCGTGCCTGACTTCCGGGGGGCGCAGGGGAGCATCTGGCCGCGTGTGACGCTCTCGCCGGGGCCCCGCCGGCCGGGCTTGACCACGGTCAAGATCGACTCTCTCGAGAACGGCGCACTTTTCTTTATAGAACGTCTCTCTCCCCCCTTGTCGTTTGTAGGCAACACTCCACTCGCGGTAACGTAAAAAATACAGGAGAGATGCTCCTGTTGCTGTTTCGCGAACAATTCAATTTCCAGAGTCGTGCACACGCGCCCGCATGTGTACGGCGGAGCGCGCTAACGTTGGAGCTAACGTAACGCGATGCCACCGGCGCGGCGCGCGCGACATCGACGCGACGGGACTCGTCAATGAACGCGCTCGCGTTCCGCCTTTTGTTTCCCGATCCACGTGACCGAGTGCGCGATAGTGCGCGCGTCGTCGCACGGCCCGTTCTCTCCCTTTCCTCTCACTCTTTCTCTCTCTCGCTCTTTCTCAAAGGCTCCCCGCTCTTCTTCCTCGTATATTTCAAAACTCCGCGACGACCGCGACGATCGCGGCTACACTCGCCGTTGCGGGTTCACAGTCACGTTCGTACTCACGTTCATAGTTACGTTCTATGGCGAGTCACAATTAATCCAATGCACAAGGTAGATTAGATTCAGATGTTTGCTCCAAAGACGTCGCTCCTTCCAGCCGCGACACCAGCCGATGCAATACGCGCCGGAGCGGCGCAACGGAGCTCTAAATATCGGCAGGCAGCTCTCGGGTCACGAGTTCGCGACTGTCACTCTCGGCAACGCGCGCGCCAACGGAAGATTCGATGAGACGGTGGGACGGAAGGTTCGCCGCGCGCGACTAACTCGACGATAAGAGCCCGCTCGAGTCCTTTCTCTCGCGCGCTCCTTCTCTCTCCATCTTACGGACGCGTGCTGTCCTCCCTCTCTCTCTCTTCGTCTCACTCCGCCTCTCGCTTCTTCTCGCGCTGCTCTCGTCAGCGGTGGTGCCTGCCTGGGGTCGACGGTGGAGGGGAGGACGGAGCCCGCGACACCCGAGACTTTCGCGGTTTCACAATCGGGAATCGGGCCCCTCCTTCCCCCGCGCGAGGGGGAGGGGGCGCGCGAATCTCCCTCGACGAAAAACTTCCCTGACGCGCGGGGTTCCGCGCCGCGGCGGGTTCGACGTATCGTCACTCGCGATCGATCGCGTTTACCGCCGAATGATCGTCGTTGGTCGGAGGGAGCGAGACTGAGTAAACGCCGACGCGACGCTGGGTATTTACGGCGGATTTGCCCGGTGCGTCGAGCGCGCTGGACGTCACAACAGGTAGTTGAGCGAGGGCAGCGTGCTGCCGCTTGTCTGGAGAAAGAGAAGAAAAGAGAGCGGGTGGGGGCGGGAGCGAGAGGTCGTCAAACGGCACCGCACGACCGCACCGGCGCGGCGCGCACGGAAGGGAGACGCCGCGCGCCGAACAGAACGAGAAGGGAGCGCGCCGTGGCGACGCCGGCGGGCCGAGGGGCCGGGGGCGCGAAGGCGTGCGCGCGAGCCAAGGAGAGAGGACGGAGAAGGAATGAGACGGCACTGACGGCTCAGCAGGGCAGGGTGGGAGAAAGGGAAGAGTGCTTTCAACGTTCGGTTCGGCTCGGCACGAGTTCCTCCTGCACTCTCCTGCGCTGTCTTGCGCGGTCTTGTGCGCACTTCGAATCTATCACTCTACCATTCGCCAGTCTCGGCCTCGGCAGTCTCGCCACAGTCGCCACTCGCGCGCGCGACACGAAACGAATTTGCATGCACTTTTCTGTCTCTTTCTCTCAATCTATCGTCTTCTTTCTCGCGCGTCTCCGCGCTCCATCGTTGTATCTTTCTTCCCGCGTACTCGCGATTCGAACGCGCCCGGCGCCACTATCTCGAGAGATCGCTCCGATTTCTGGACGGGTCCGGAGCGAAGGTTGCCGCGAACGCGCACGTCCGCGGGAAACGCTCCGCGATTCATCCGCGCGATCTGCGCCGGGCCGGCTCTCAACCGTGCGCGACTCGCGACGCGCAGCGCGATCTCTCGCCGCGCACTCTGGACCGCGCACCGGCGCGCGGATGTTGCTTCACTTCACTGCGCCGACACCCCGGGGCACGAACCGATCCGACGCGACCGCCGCGACGAATCACGTGTCATCGAGCGCCCGCGCGCGATCTCGTCCCCCAAAACAATTACATAACCTCACTTTCAACCCCCGTCTCTTGTGTATGTACGCACGCTCGCGCGCGCGCACTCGCGCGTCCTCAGTCCGCTCCACTCCGCGTCGTCGCAAAGTCGCCCAAAACGGATTCCCTCTTCACCTCCCTCTCGCTTTCTCTCGCTCGTCGTGTCGCTGTCACGCCGGATGCTCGCGCGCGATCGTCCACGGCGACGAGAAACGACCGAAACGTAGACGCGTGCGAGGCCGCGCTTCGAGATCGTTCCTAGCGAACTCGCGGTGCCATTAACAGAAACTGCGAGTAGGGTACAACGACGGGAACATACATCCCGTTCAAACAGCGAACCGTAATTGCTGCCGCCGCGACGTAACCGCCCTCCGATGGCGACGCGGGGAACCAGTTAAACCACCGCGCGGCGTCCAACCGCCGATCGCCTTCGCCCAACGTGGCGTCACCGCTCGGTGGACGTCGGTACTGCGAGCGGCCAGGTGTCGGTCCGAAGCAAACAGACCTCGTGTTCGTGTCACGAGCTCCCGAACGATTCTGAACAATCTGAACGCCTCGCGTTCCTTAATTACAGAGTGTACACGTTGTAAGAATTTGGGTCTTTTCAGGCTGTTTTCCGCACTTGCGACTTATGACGTCAGCGCTACGCCGACGCGAGGAGGACGCACGATACACGTGACAAGTTATTCATCCGATGACGTATGATTCGATTGACTATTGCGGTGTAATCGGCTCGTTGAAAAATTTATGTCGACAATGACGTAAAGGCACAAAGTACCTCGATCGATCGAACACTAGCAAGTTTTCGAAGCCTGTGAGAATCTTGCGCACGTGGTAAACGGTAAGCTCAACGTCATTTCGGCATCGCATGGTTTCGATTTACTTGCTTAAAATAGAGATTTTTCCTTAGCCGAGTAAAGTGTCAAGTTTCGTATTTAATTTCTAAAAATATATAAACCATAGAAAAATTTCGGAAAATTTTCCCACGGTGCAACAGTTAGAGCGCGCTCAAATTTTTTTGAAACTTTTCAGTCTACCTGAAGCACACGTTTTGCACGAGATTCGAAACGTGTGAATTATTATCTTACATTAAAAGAATCACAAGTGAGATATATGTAAAATTAAATACATATTCTACACTTTTAGAAGTAAAACAAGCTTCCTGGTGCCTTATACAAGAGTTCCCTAATATAAAATATATTGATAGTTGAACATCCTTGTCTTGGCACTTATTATACATTTATTTATTTGAACATGTGCTTAATGAAAAAGGAAGAATTTTAATATGGAAAAAATAGCAGCATGAAATATGATTTTATACATAGTTTCAGATTGTCAATACGTTAATATTTTTAAAAATTTGTATTTCAGATAATTCTAGATGGCTTCAGATGCAAAAAGGATAATTCCAGGAGAGATAAAACCTAAAACTAGACTGCCAACCATATCAGGCACGAAACCTTCTTTAAGAAATTCACAGTTGCTCATTTCAACAGGGATACCTTCCTTAGACAGTACGATAGGCGGAGGTTTACCTATTGGCTCGATACTTTTAATTCGTATGTATATTTATACAATTATGTTTCTTTAAATATTTAAAAGCATTGCATACATATATATGTGATAAATATTACCACATGTCTCGGTAGTCGAATTGGTACGACGCCCTTCACGGAATGAAGGAGATTCCAGGTTCGAATCCTGGCTGAGGTATTTTTCGCAATAAATTCTTTACAGTTTTTTAAATAATTAAATCGCGTCGATTTAATTCCGGGGAGGGAAGGGTATTAATGTTCCAACGATAGCTGTGTTTCAAGTCCGACAAATAATCGGCACGCAGTTTATTAAGTTGGAATATATGTATATTATGTACATGTAATTTACTTAAATATAGAATATATGAACACCAACACCTTGTTACGGCTCAACGCTCCATTTTCTTCGATTGATATATATGTGTGTTTAATGAAACGTTTATTTGCAGAGGAAGACAAGTACGGCTTTTACGCTAAAATCTTATTAAAATATTTTATGGCTGAAGGAGTAGTCATTTCTCAGCCTGTACTAATTGCCTCTCAAGATGTCCAACCTTCTCAACTTGTGTCGGGATTACCTGCAGTTGTAGACGATTTAGAGAAACATACAAAACCTACAAATAATGTAGACGAGCCAATGAAAATAGCTTGGCGATATCAGAATATGAAAGTGGTAGATCCAACTCCTGCGGAAGGTCAGACATTTGGTCATTATTATGATCTCACAAAACCGATGCAGCAGGATCTCTTAGAACGTGCTGACATAAAACAATGGCAAAATAATGAGGAAATGACGCTGGATAAGAATAGTAAATTTGAGAACGCTGCATATACTGACTTATTATGCACCATCGAGAGAACTTTACGCGATGGACAACATTTTCTCTCTGAAGCACCGGATGAAGAAACGAAGATTTTAAGAATCGCGATTCATTCTCTGGGATCAAGATTATGGCTTAGTGACACGGAGAAAGATTCGAATCGTGACCTGTTAAAATTTGTATATTGCTTCAGAGCACTTTTAAGGCAATCCTATGCGGTCGGCGTATTAACTATACCAGTTAATAATTTCGATAATACTGTAGGTATCAAGAACTTTTTTATTCCTGTTACAGTGATCAATCTTACAGTCTATATTTTCCAGGATAACGTTATCGAGAGACTTGAGCATTTGTCGGATATAGCGATTGGATTAGAATCGTTTGCGGGGTCTGCAAAAGAAATCAATCCATTATTTAAGGACTATCACGGTCTTTTATACATTAAGAAATTGTGCGCGTTAAATGGCTTATCACACGGCAGTTCGCAATACAGAGATCTAGTATTTAAATTACGCCGTAAAAAGTTCCTCATAGAAGTTAGTAGATGTTGATGTTTTGTTTTTTATTTCAAATTGGTGTTGATATAAAATTTTATATTTATCCGTTTTTATAGGTTTTATATTTGCCGCCCGAATTTGAGGATACAACACAACGAGAGCAAGATGAGTCGGTAACATCTAGCGTTGGATGCACGAGTGGATCTCATAAAAGTGCACTTGATTTCTAGGTTCATGAATTTTATACGAAATTAAATGTGATAATTTTAATGTATATTTTTTATTGAGAACATTAAATTCCTATTTTGTTAAAATAGTTTATTATTTCAAATTATAATTCATTATATTTTTCGCATTTACCTCATCCTTCATAAAATGTTAGTCTAAAATCACTACTTCAAGATCACGACCGTGTTCAAGATATAGTTTGTGCCTTGCAAAGTTCGCCTCTTAACAAGCAAGTGGTAAAACAGAATTTTTACGTACGCTTAGGTCACGCCTATCCCGTTTAACGGGAAGTGCGTGGTGTGGCGGCTGAATTAATGTAGAGAAGAGGAGATAGGCTTCGTGAACACTTACAATAATGCGCATAAAGTATCTTTTTGCCATGTTACGTTGTATCAACTTCCAAGTTCATTTACACTGTAGGAATACAATTTTTGATGGGAGATTCCTATAATGAATACGAAATCTCCAGAATAATCATTTTACTTTGTAATTAATATTTGCAAAAAAATTGTATAACAGCATTGTAACGTTTCTTGATAAATAAAAAATATTTCTGTATAATTATAAAATAATTGCACGATTAATAATTCAATTTTTTACTATAAAGTCATAAACAATCGATACCACGAAGAAATTATGTCGCACAATATCTGAAAATTTAATAATTTTATAAAAATAATATTCTTGTTGTGACAATTTCTCTCAGCTTTGCACACAAACACGATCTTTCGACCTTTTTTGTAATTTTCCTGAAACTTTTCGAGATATCGCGTTTTTATCTTTAGTACCTCAGAGCAATTTAGCGAAATACTTTTTGTAGTACAAGGGATGAGACTTATGGCTGCATTCCGATATTCACGTCAGTACTGCAAATCTATATTTTATGTCACGTATACTATAGATTTTCAGTACTGAAAGTTGCTGACGGTGAATATCGGAATGCAGCCTATAAAAACTTAAGGTAGTTGTATCGCGACAGTATTAGTCAAAAATAATGGTCACACTGCAATACGATAATGTATAAAAACTCTACTTATCTGTGTAAAACTTTTGACTGAGCTTGTACTGTTTTTACTGTTTTCACTCGCATCAATAATGTCAGTATATACCAGTATGCTATCGAGGTTATTTTGAATAAATAGAAGAAATAGAAGCAAAAATGTCTGTTGAACGTTACAAAGGAAGATTAATGAAAAAAAAAGTATTAAAGAAAAGACTTAAAGCTTTAGCGGCAATGTCTGAACTACATATATATCTAATCTTCATATGCGCAGTGTTGCAAGATCTTTACAGGTTAGCTGTCGTATGCTATGTCCGCTATGAGAAATTGTGTACTTTGTGTAACAATTGCTTCAAAACTAAATAGATAAGGGTCTTGTACTTTTGTAAGAATATTTTTACAAGTCTCTTTTGTCATCTCTTTGTTTTTCATAAAAATCCTATGAGTATATAGTTTGATCGCTACAATTATAAACGTGATATGAAGCCGTTTTCGTTCTACGATACATGTAAAAAGTGCTAAGTTTGATTTCCATTATTTCAACTTTGGTATAGTCAAGCTTTTTCTATGTGTAGAGCGTGTTTATACATTAATATGCTTACATTAATATGCTGTTCAAATTTTAAAAGATTTCTATGAAAATGGGTTTTGTGATACAACTACTTTTAATATCTTTTGCCAGATGATAACAATAAAAGATAACGCATTCAGACACGTGCTATACAAGAATTCGAATAAAAGAACATTGAATATTATACATAATATAATTTTAATATTTAACTAAAACAATATATATAACATGTTATTAATACTTGACTAAAATATTAAATAATAATTTACGAGCTGAGTGAAACGTGTTGTTAGATAATAACACATGCATTCAGACGGAGTTATATACTCGGTTAAAATTTTTTTATATAAAAACTGTATTCCGTATAAATATATATTAAATTCTATATAAAATATATCCATATATCGTCTGCGAATAAATAATACTGCCTATGTGACATTTTTCTGCATATGCACTTTTGGCTTCGATTGTTCCGTATTATCATTCTATATACAAGGTTTGGGCCAACACTGGCACTGGCTTCCACAAATACATATTATTTACAGATGAGTTTCAATGTTTATTCAAAAAGTTACATAATTATTGAATGTTTCATTTTTTACATAGTTTTTTGTCTCTTCTATATAAACTTTATTTATTATCATAAGCGAAATTGTTTATTCATAGTTGACGATATGTTTTCTTATATATATAATCTCGACTGTTAGCACATACAGAAAAAATATTCAAGAAAAAGAATTAAAAAATAATTAAGAGAATAATTTTTACATATTTTGATAATTTGTTATTTTCATAAAAAATAAAGTTTGAGGAAATGAGAAAACATTGTATAATTATATATAAATGTAAAAATTGTATGCAAAACGATTATATGATTATACAAGGTGTTAAATTTCAAACGCGCCGAACATCTCGATAACTAAATGAAATATCGAGGTCTGGTTTTTTTCTAGGTTGTATTGTTTCGAGGCGGACAAATTTTGATAAAAAGAATTTAAATAAAAAGAGCTTTGGGGATGAACGCATTAAGATAAGATAAAGGTCAAATTCATTTTTTAAAATAAAACTAATTTTTTAAACACCTACGCCCTTATTCTCACGACGAATTCAATGACTATACACCCAAGGTGATTGGAGGTAAATGACAAAAGAAAAGGACTTAGAAAAGAAAAAAGATATTTTAATGCAAAGCAAAGAAAAAATAGACTTTATTAATAAATCTTTAAATAGAAAGAAAGTAAAAGAATCGAAGTCAACAAAAATTTTTTCTCTTTGAAAAAGACAATTTCATTAATCAAAGTATTCAAAATGTTGCCCTCTTGCATTTATGCAAGCTTTGCAAAGCTTGCTTCGTTGAAAATCATTAAGCACTCTTCGATCGTAATTCGCCTCTTGAAATTATCCGAATAATTTGGCACGCTTCGCGTAATTTATTCCATCATATTTTCTCTGGTAGTTGAAAGATTAACATAAACAATTTCTCCAATTTGCCGCAGGTCAAATGACGGAAGAGAAAAACTCAGGAAGAAAAAAAACTATTAAAATAAATGTTAATAAAAATAACTTTTTATGCTCTTCATATATAGGTATGTAAGCTATTGAAAAAGGGACAACATTTTGAACACTTAGATTAATGGAATTTTCTTTTTCAAAGAGAAAAAGAATTTAATTAACTTCGATTCTTTTACTTTATAAAAATTTCTTTTTTCTTATTTCAAGATTTATTAAAGTCTATTTCTCCTTTGCTTCATTAAAGTATATTTTTTCTTTTCTAAAAGTTTCTTCCGTCATTTGATCTCCAATCACTTTGGGTGTGTATAGTCATTGAATTCGTTGTGAGAAAGGCTACAAACGTAGGTGTTTAAAAAATTAGTTCTATTTTAAAAAATTTGACCTTTATTACCTTGACACGTTCATCCAAAGTCAAATTCTTCTTATCAAAATGTTGTCCGCCTCAAAACAATACAACCTAAAAAAAACCAAACTTCGATATTCATTTATAGTTATTGAGATATTCGGCCTATTACGTTTGACATTTAACACCTTGTAGAATATTATTTAATTTGATTACAATTTTACTTTTTGTAAAAGAAACAATGTATTTTTCTAATTATTTTTCAATTATTCTTATTTTTCCTGTGTACATAAAATCGTCATTTTGACATTATTTTGACTTTATTGTGATTTGCTGTTCTACTTGGGTATGGATAGAGATTATACAAGAGAAAGAAAAAACATATATATATATATATATATATATATATACACACATATAGACATATTTTCTATATAATTATACATATATTTTTTATATTTTTATATAAAAAATTTTGTACCAGGTAAGAATATATTTGAGTAAAAATATATTAATACATAATTTTAGCATTTAACTGAAACAATTAATATATAACATGATATGAACATATTTGACCGGAATATTAAATAATAATTTACAAATTTGCATAAAAATCATATGATACGAAGACATTTGGTACATCCTCCGAACAAACAGAATGATCGCCAACCATTAAGTTCCCCTTGCCGTTTGGTGAATAACTTTTGCCGACTCGAATCACACACGAACCGATCGTCGGTGCAAATGTCCGTGTGTATGTATAAATTTTTCATTCTCCCTCCGGTCTTTTTCCATCCACACCTTTCTACTTCCTTCCGGTTCCGTCCGGTCGGTCGCGCATGAGAGCACGCAAGCGCGCTTACAGACCCCCGATGCTGTTGTGAAATCCATCCACCGCGCACCGCATACGAGGGGGTTTTCAGTTCGTGAACATACGCGATCGGGTTCACCTCGAATACCAGGTTGTAATACACAGTGTAACTCGACAAATGATTTAATCGTGGCAAGTCGAACTATTATGCGGTGCGCCGAGTGCGATCGGCGTCGAAACTTTATGTGACAAAAAGTTATCTGCAGGTCGTTAATTGTTCATTAAGAAGCCAACACTTCGAACATAACGATGGGAACTAGAAGATTAGCCATATCGCGCGCTTTTGTTTGTTGCTCGAACATAATTTTCTTGGTGAGTTACCGGCTATTTATTTCGGACGCGACTTTAATTTAAATCTATTTTTAATAAATTTTATATAATTATAAAGACATTTAAGAAATGTACATGTAAACATATAGATAAAATATTGTGATGGATGTAATACTAATGCGATGTAAATCTCAAGATCGATATCGAATTCGAACCGCCTCTCGTTTTAATATAATGTATGATTGTTGTAAGCGGTTTAGCAAATCGATGAAACTTGAAAATTTGTTGTTTTTCTCTTCCTTTCAGATGTCAGGTTTTGTGTTGATGTCATTGGGAGGATTATTATTAGCCGATAATGAACGGATTTTATTATCGCGTCTGCTAGGACCTGGTGACATTCACCCCGATCAACCTCTCTTTTATTATTTGGCTTTTGCTATAGTTGCATTAGGATTTCTTATCGCCATCACCGGACTTCTCGGATGCTGGGCGGCTTGTCTTTTTAATCGCTGCATCACG